GGAGCTACAGGGCACGTCCTCTGCGCTTGACACATTTTTCAACGGTTAGTAATGAGGGATTGATGAGGAGACGACGAGGAAATGGGCAGAGAAGAAGGCGTAGAAATAGGAGGGCGGTGTCCCATATCACTCCTGTCATGTGCCTGATTTAAGGATTTCTCCTTAAGAACCAACAGCACTCAGAAATAATTATGTTGAGTCGTTTGGCTCGTATTGGTCTAAGGGATGCCCCGTGGCCAATATACGCTCAACTTATTTCTGGAGTAGGGCAACTCAAGTTTTGGCACTACAAAATATATCTGTATATGAATACAATATTCCTAGGCACACTTGGCTGGACACCCCTACTACTATAAAAAGAAAGCCCCCAGGTTATGACAGTTTATTATCATAACCATGTTAACACATATAATTTTTATGATTCACACACACAACAATGCTAAACACTTAGAAAGGTGAAATAGAGACACCTAAATCAGCCATGAAAATGAATGCATGTAATCAATACAACATATATAAATATATAATAGTGAAGTAGATGCCAGATCTCAGTGGATGGATCCCATAATACAATGACCAGACTCAACAGAAATCTAAACAGCCAGAAAGTCCTGGAGGTAACACATTCTCATCCACGGAATCCATTGGAGCTGTGGGGAATATAGCATGATATAGACATAAACTGGACTTATCCTAGTTCTACTGTTGATGCTTCCCTTAGCTCCTGGTGATTCGACTGTCTATGACTCTGGTACTCCTGCTTTCAATGGATCAGGTAGTAGAGGAGTACCTCACCATCGAGGACACAGACACTGTATAAGTACTCAGCACGTCTCTTCCATCGGTCAGGTCACAAAACTGTCTCTGAGCTACACCAAGCTCCTGAAGACTGGTCTACTCGAGTATGGGTATACTCTCTATAAATGTTCACCTGCCCTGGAGTCACTCACATGCTCTGACACTGTTAGGATGTTTGAGGTATATGGCACCCCATAGTGATGATGCCAGTTCTTCACTGGTGTTAGCTGGTGGGTAGTTGGTTGATAGTTGGTTGGTAGTTGATTGGTGGGTGTTGGTTAGACTGTGATTCTTCTGCCAGATCTTCACAAAGGTTTCATCCTGTCAGGAAAGAACTCAGAATTAGTCATCACCAAGAGGGTATCATCTTGAGAGGAAAGACTCAGAATAAGCATCAGTCACCATCCCACATCAGCGTACTCCACCTCTGCTCCTCTGCTTCATTCCTCAGAGTGCACTCTCAAGACCAGGAGACAATGTCTCCTATCATTCATCTGTCTGTTTAGTGCAAGAGATGGAAAGTCAGATATATAGTAGAGATAGATAGACACTCTCACACATATATCAATCTCTCTCCCCCTCTCATCTGCACACAGACACCAATATTTACCGTCAGTACCCCAATCCCCTTACGACTCTCAAGCCATTCCCACACATCCATTGATCTGTGTCAAACACACTCAACGCAACGCTCTGGCTGCCCAGGTATTGACCTAAATTCTCGGTCCCCATTCGTATGCACAAACCTCTGTTTTTAGTTTAAATGGTACACACTTGTAGGGTCATTATCTTTACCAATATGTGTGGGTTATTTAGGGCATGGGCTATTTAGGTTGTAAAGAAGAAGGTCTAAGTTCGAATCCGCTTCTATGGAGAACAAGAACGGTCGAACTAGGTGCGATCACATAGCCGAAGCCGGTATATTTACAGCAGCGACCTTTTTAACAGACATCATTTAAGGTACTCGTAAACTATAATTAACTTACCAAAGCATAGGAAAAGTCCTTCTTAAATTGCAATTTACTGAGGCGTCGATGGATACATCTGATCTCCAGGAAAGCCGGCAGAAACAATGTCCGCACAAATTCAAGTTAGGCGTCGGTAAGAAGAAGTTTTTTGTATACATGAGCAAGGAGTAAACCGGTTTCCAAAAATATTCAACTAACTCCAGCAATATTTATCATACAGTTGCAAATTTGAAAATGACGCTAAGTCAAAGCAACTAGAAGATGTAAATATCATAATTTTCTCCGATAAAGGCATATATCGATATAAGGGACTATATACCTTTCCGGACGAGTCCAAGTTTGAAAGTTTTGTCAAGCACAGGTAATACAGGTCCCGACTCTTTTACGGTAATGTGTAATGGCTTATTATTCCTTGACAGGCGGGTGCTAGGAGAACAAGGCGAAAAGCGGAGAGATTGAGCTTTAATCATGTAAGAGTAGGATACTGGAACTGTCGGAGTTCTAGGCAGAGAGATCTTGTACTGGAGAGGTTGAATTTTGATTTTGATGTCATCATGCTCCAGGAGCTAAATACAGACAGATATCATTGCCGGGGGTACGTCACTTATATAAACCCTGTTGGACAGGAGAGACATGGACAAGGTCGAGTGGTAAAGGAGGGAGTGAAGCATGTGGTGCTTGACTTGAGCCAGTGGAACCACGGTGGACGAGAGGTTCAAGGAATACAGGTGGAAATTGGTGGCTTAAGTTGGAACCTTATAAATATATATGCCAAGTTAGACTGTTTTGTCAGAAGTGAGCAATGGAGCTGGCTCAAGGAACTGGAGGAGTTACCAGGAGATAGGTTACTCATATGTGGGGATTTCAACGCGAGGAACAGAGAATGGGACAGCAGTGGAGAAAACCGACAGGAATTGCTCTTGCAGAGGCCATGGTTGACTCCGATATGGTCTGCATCAATGATGGGAGGCCGACTAGAATGGCAATGAGGTCTGGAGATGCAGACACAGCCATTGACTTGACATTTGTCTCTCAGTCATCGGTTTCAGATGTTAAATGGACTGTCCTGAATGACCATGGGAGTGATCACCTACCATGTTCAGTCTTGATTTCTAAACTCAGTAAGGTTAAGGTTGGGAGAGCACGCAAGACCTTCCAGTATAAGTGGACCAACAGCCTACTTGGACGCCTTAGACAGGGAGCATGCTAAAGAACTGCCAGAACTAATTTTCTACAGCCCTCATGGTGGACTCCAGAAGTAGAACAGGCATGGAAGGCAAAGAGAGCCGCAGTGAAGCAGCTAAAGAAAGTACTACAGACACCCTCAAGCTCATGAGAGGAAGTGGAGATGGCGGAGAATGTGAAAAACGATAAGTTAGAGGTTTTCAATCGCTGTGCTGCAGAGGCAAAAAGAGCAAAGTGGGAAACTTTTGTGAATGACATGGGAGGCGATAAAACATTGGGGAAATTCTGCAAACTGCAAAGGCAGATGCAAAGAAAAGATCGGCCTATGACAGTCGGAACAATTTGTAGAGACGATGGTGTGCGTGTGACAACAGACAAGGAGAAAGGGGAGGCTTTTCTCAAAAGGTTTATAGTTCAGACAGATCATAATGATGTAGAAATCAGGAATGCAGTTAGAAAGGAATTAGCTGGCACCTTGAAGAATTTGCATAATGAAGACGGAAGGTCAGCGGCTGATAAGAGGGAGGTCATGGATGGCTCAGGCAGAAGACACAATCAGACAGGTTTGCATCCTTGAGAACATTAGGCGAGGAAAGGAGTGGGTCAAAGTGCCACCTGAGAAGTCAGACTTGTGTAGAGTCATAATCACGCTGAGCCGGGAATGCAGAGACTGGCCAGCAGGTGCCACAGAGGTGGAAATTCAACAATTAATTCAAGATAATGTTCGCTCAGAGGATTTGATCATTTACACAGACTGTTTAGTGTCAAGAGGCAAAAGAAGTGCTTGGGGCTTTTTAGCAAAAGTTAATGGTCTATGTTTGGTGCAGGAGAGCCTAGCATATGATACCACAACATCCAGCTTCAGAATGGAGGTGGAGGTGGTCACTGCAGCTTTCTGCTGGCTAGAGAACACGACACACACACACACACACACACATTGTAATTGTAACTGATTCAGAAAGCATGCTGAGGAAGATCAGAACAGGTATGCTTCGTGCAGAGTGGCATGCTTTCCTGCGGAGGATACGAGTGAGAAGCATTGTCTGGATTTTTTCACCGGGTGACGCTGGTGTGTTAGGAAATGAACAGGTGGACAGACTGGCTGGCTCTAAACAACTTGGTGGAATACTGCTACATGATAGGGCAGATGTGGTTAGTGCCTTGTGGGTGAGCGTGTACAATGCGGAGGAGCAGATGGATCACCACAGTCTGGTGAGATTGATGCAGTTGGAGGTGACGAGAGGTTCTGGCAGAAGCTCGAGGCTCAAAGGAAAGGCAAGACGGACGTTTAATCAGAAAGCTACTGGCACCATTAGTATCGGAACTCTTCGCTGACTGCTGAAGATGTGGACGGAGCGCTTATGAGAATGCCCCGAGTGCTGAGATGTCGGTTCTTGAATCAAATCAAATCAAATGACAGCAAACTCATTCAAGTGTGTTAAAACAAGTTGCTCCAGAGACTGAATTTTATCAAATCTGAGCACTGAAAAACCGTAAGCTGTGCTGCCATTCATATCTATTGTTATATGAAACTGGTAAAATAACTGACAAACATAACTGTATATTTATTATTCGCGTAGACACAAGGAAGACAAACACATCCTGATATAATCTATGGCTCCAACAAGGCTGCAAGTTCACATACGACCAGGAAGTCACTGAATGACGTGTCAAGCAGGAAGAGATATGTGAACTCGAAGATCTTATCATCAAACACCCCGCCTACTAATTCTAGAGGGGAAAAAAAAGCATATCTGCATATTTATGTTTAACGTGTCAAAGGCACTGAAACCATCAACAGCGACGTTTAAATTCATGTAACGTGTGAGATATTTCTTTCATTCTTTCTATATGTATATATATGTATATATATGCATATAATACACATTCAAAATCATAACGAAATTGTAGTGTTATACATAATTTTAGTAGGAGCAATTAGTGCAAATATGCTGACTATTTTTGTGTTTCATTGTGAGATTACAGACAGGAACATTTCATTTCTGACCTAAGGGCACATACTCTGTCGGAGCCGGAACAGCCGTTGCCATGTCAGTAACAGCCGAGAAGGTGTGTGTATTCATGCTGCTCATTCTTGCTGTAGGTAAGAAACACTAGATTGTTTGTCACAGCATGAATTCTATTATATTTTCGCTCCCATTTTGGGGGGATTTGAGGGGGGGGGGGGGGGTTTGGAAGGGACGTGTGGACTACACGATTACTGGTCATCTTGCCAATTGTCCCATCAACATTTACACCTATACAGTCATATTTATTGTCATTATAATGCCATACCTTTATATGACCAATACTTACAACCATTTGAAATAAACGGTAAAGTCGTGCGATGTGAAACAGCGTAACTGCACACGGTTATAAAACAGAAGTTTCTTCTTCTTTCTTCTTCTTTCGTTCGCATGAAATAAATTGTCTATATCTGCAAAGCCGTCTCTTGTATGAATTTCACTGTCTTTTGTAATTCACTAAGCGGCCCGTAAAGTTTGACTTTCACAAGTGTCTCTTTTGTCCAAATGTTTTGCCTGAAAGCGTTGAATATGGGACAGTCTTGAAGGATGTGATCTGTTGTTTCAGGTGCCAGTCCACAAGTACACATGGCCGATTGGCCAATCTTAAATTTGTTGTACATGTGGGAGCGAAGTCTATTGTGCCCTGTTCTAAGGCGAAGGATAATAACTTGCTCTGGTCTGTCCATAATATGGTAATCATCTTGTGCCAGTTTCGGTGGCATTCTGATTGATTTGATCATTCTCTTCTTCTGTTGATAAGAGACTGGTATGTCAGGTTGTTCTTCAGTTGCACCTTCCTTAGCTAGTTGATCAGCTTTTTCGTTTCCGGGAACTCCACAGTGGGAAGGTATCCACTGCATTACTAATTTACAGCGGTTGCCTAGTTCGGATAATAGTGTCCGTATGCTTGGTAATTTTCCAGACTGGAGTGACTGAAGTACTGCTTTTGCATCTGTCAGGAATACCACTGGTTGTGAAAAATACCCTGTATTTAGTAGTTTCTCTACCGCTATCTTGATGGCTTGAACTTCTGCATCATAGTTGTGACAGTGCTTTCCCGTTGGTAATTTGGCTGTATCCCTGGTATTATTAGGATACTCAATGTACACTCCCGCACCTCCGTTTCTGACTGCGCTTTCTGCTGACCCATCTGTGTAAACACGGACCCAAAGGTTCTGCGGGTATTCATCATCAAGTAAACTGAGGGTGGCTGTTTTGCGCTGCACACTGTTTTGTTCTTCCTTGTCAAATACCCCTTTCACTTCAGTCTTGATGTGTATTGGAAACTTATACTCCTCTCTCCAGGGGGTCCGTTCTGGGACAGCATTTAAGGATCTATCAGTTGCAGGTAAATCAGTGGTTTGTCTGCCGAGCCGTTTGGCCTGGTGGATAAAACTACTTCTCTTTAGTCGTCCCAAAGCTAAATTTTTGAATCTTTCATTCATAGGGTGACTGGGCATACTAAGAAACTTTTCTGCTTGTAAAAGCATCTTGGTGTCTCTGCGTTCACTTAGTGCTTGGGTCATCCCCATTTTCTCCATCACAGCTATAGGTGTTGATTTCATACTGCCTGTGGTAGGTAACTCTGAGTGCTTGATTTTGCACTTTGTCTAATTCTTGCAATGTGGTTTTTGATGCCGAACTCCATGCTGTTGATCCGTATTCAAGATGTGGTCAAACACTTTGTTGGTAAACTTTTCTAAGTATTTTTCCGCTAGCACCCCATGTGGTTCCACTTAGTTTTCTCAGAATGGCTACCCTCCTTCTGGCTTTGGTTGCTTGCCTTGTTGATGTGTTTTCTCCATGTTAATCTATCATCAAACGTTACGCCGAGGTATGTGGGCTCTTTATCCTCTCTCAGGGGTACTCCATTTATGTGCATGGCGCCTGATTTTTGTTTAGGAGAAAGGGTAAAGAGAGTGGTGCTGCATTTGCCTATGTTGATGCTGACACACCATTTGTCGGCCCATTTAGCCATTGCATCTATGGCTCTTTGTAGTAGTCTGGTGGCCACTGTCGCATTTTCATTTGTACACCAGAGTACCAAGTCATCAGCATACATTGCAGCTTTAATTCCATGGGGTAGTTCAGAAAGCAGGTCGTTGATATAGACTAGGAAGAGTGTGGGGGACAGGACACCTCCTTGTGGGACGCCATGGCGCAGCAAAACTTTCTTGCTCTTAAGTCCATCTATCTGTGCTCTGCCACTTGAACGTCTGTGTCACCGTCCGCACGCAACTCCATAGCTACAGCGACGTTCCTCCATTTACCCCAAAGTGTTAACTCTGGTACCCATTACCTAGAGGCTGGGCAAACCCCGGGAACCGCCCGGTTTCGAACACCGACCGTGGGCTGCAGCGAGTCGCGGCTGGATTTGAAAGCGAATCTCCTAACGACTCTGCTAACGAGGCCCTAAAGTATCCTCACTGGAATAGAACCCCGGTCTCCCCCGTGACAGGAGGGTATACTTACTACTATACTAACGAGGATGATATCTAATCTTGATACAGGTAAGAAAATAACGTATAGCAATGAAAGTAGGCAGCAACCACACAGAAGCTGACCCTGAGGCCTAGAAGCGATTGTCTAGCTAGGCTACCGCCGCTTCCACACCAAAGAACAGAAGGTTTATCTTTATTCTCTCTGATGGCAACAAAAGACTTTTTGCGTGTGCCTCTTCTAAAGGCGCAAGAAATCTACGACAGGCAAAATTGTATTTATAATGGAGTGCTTTTGTTGTACCGCCCTAGAATGTTGCCTAACATAGAACAACTTGTGTGGAGTTAGAATCTAACAATAAGCGCCTGGAGTCACATATTTATCGCATTGTTCTTAAATAATAAACTAATCGTATAGTCATGCATATTTATTTCTATCACTGAAATGATTTGCACTTGTTTGTGCTAGAAACCCAAAAGTTCAGGCACGGGCTGTGTCAGTTTGAACATACAGAGGACAGCAAGGAAGATTATGCAACTGATCTGACAATACTGAAAGCTTTAAAAGGTACTTCTTTCCCTTAAAGTGTCTACATTAATTGTTTGCGATTCTTTCTATAACCCCCATCTTTATCAGTCGTATTACCAGTTGACACGGTCAGAAGTTAGCCGGATTTCACTGTCTACATTCACGCATCATTTCCCGTTGAGCCTTTATTTATTATAGTACATTTTTTTTTTTTTACTTATATCTCCCATACGAAGATAAAACACTATCAAAATCTTATCCTGTTGTCTGCCTCTTTATACATTTTCCAAGTTGTTACTTTGAATTTTTTCTTCTTTACAACTAAATATGATGACTTGAAAACATGTAGATTTCTCATTTCTACGTGCTCAAATAAGGATTGTAGCTGTAGAGTTTCATGCATTTTCACACACTGTCGATTATTTACAGACATATAATTTAAAACAAAAAATAATAGCATGTAAAATGCACCACTTGCTAACTATGACTTTCGTTTCTTCATTGTATTAATGTCTTTGTGCTGCTACTCATCGCCTCACACTTAGACAGTTTGCAAGCTCCCCCAACCTCAGTCGGCATAGCACTTGATGATGGTACTTGTATATATGTGGTGCATACCAGCCCTCTCCCCAAAAACCCTCATCAGGTTCAAGCCACTCGTTCAGTTGCAGTTAACACTTCTTAGCCAACATAAATGGCACAATATGAGTTAAGTTGAGCCTAGAAATGACATCACAGAACTCGGGGCATTCCCATGCATGCTCCGTCGTCATCTTCAGCAGCCAGCGCAGAGTTCCAATACTGATGATACGGGTCACAATCTGGTTATATGACTGTCTTCTTGTCTTTTCTCTGAGTGTAGTCAGCCGGCCAGACTGTCTGGTTACACCCAGATGCCTCATTCTCTCTAGGCAATAATCTTCTATCTCTACTGATTCCGTTGCTTGTCCCCAAAGGGCCTTGACCACACCTGCCTTGTCTTGAATCAATTCACAACATAGCGGTGCAGACCCAGCTAATCTGTCTGACTGTTCATTACCCATCACGCCGGCATCCCCGTAGAAAAGATCTAAAGTATGCTCACTACCCGTGACCTTTCCAGTGAAGCTTGCCACTCTGCCTGAAACATCACTGTCTTCACCTTTCTCAGCATGCTTTCATAGTCTGTTACAATTATGACATGAGTGTACATCTTGTTCTCTAGCCACCAGAGAGCTGCAGCTACCTCGTCCATCTCCACTCTCATGCTAGAAGTTGTGGTGTCTTATGCGAGGCTGTCTTGCACTAAATATTTTCCATTGGCTCTCACTATGAACCCCCAGGCACTTCTCTTTCTGTATAAATAATCAGATCACCTGGGCGTGAATTGTCATAAATCAACTGTTGGACTTCCCCCTCTGTAGCACCCGCTGTCCACTCTCTGCACACCCGGCCCAATGTGATCATAACGCTACACAGGTTAGACTTTCCCGCTGGTACTCTAACCCACTTCTCTCTTCGCCCAATGTTCTCCAGCATGCGTACTTGTCAGGGCACAAATAAACCAGTAGGTTGAACGCAGTCGACCCCCCCCCCCTCCCACCCCTCCCCTCCCCCTTGTTTTGTTTTTTGATTGCTTTCCTAAATGGATTGATATTGCCCACTAAATTCTCCTACAAAATTCTATCAGTGCAATGTATGTGTCTACAAATATATAGTCTGACCCTGTTGTTTAACATATACCATTTTGTTCACAGTATTTCGGCCTCATAAATATGTATGGTATGTTTACTGTAGCTATTTTTATATTTGGTTTACCAATTGATTTTTAAATCATACAATTGTTCTTCGATAAATGTTTACCATTTACTTAGACATTTTGTTAATTAGGCTATTTCATTCCTCTATTTTGTTGCAAATTGTGAGCATACTATTAATGCTTATTTATGTCTTCTGTTTTCTTGTGCAATGTTTCGTTAAAGTTGTTCGTGATCTCAGTCTTTGCATTGCTCGCGGGGTGATTTCACATAACCTCGCTGTATGCCTTCTAGATTTATAAAACATGATCTGACAACTATATTTTAAAGCCAACAAAAAATGTAACGTGGACTGGAGCAGAACCTATTACGCGGACGATGATGGCTATATTGCTGTTAATTGTGGTCGATGTTCCATCTACAACCTGCATGTTTCCGCGAAAAGAAACACTCAACATGATCCCATAGTTTGCTCAGGCTTGACCCCAGAACTATTCACCAGCAAGCTGGACTGCATGTGGAAGGTAATCTCTTTCAAATTAATTCCAGAATGGTTAGTTGAGTTAAAAGTTAAAGATTTTGTCTCTATATAATATGATCGATACTGGTGATGTGGTCACAGGACCAGATATTGATACCCATACATGCCAAGTGAATGGTATATTAAGTACCGCAATTCTCTTTTACCAAGTTTATGAGGCAAGTTCTCTCTGAGACTGCGATGTTGTAATGGAACGCTAACAAGCGAGTGCATACTTAAATAGGCAGACCAGATGAACTCAAATTCCCGTTTTTTGTGGAAGTCTGAGAGGCCGGTCTGAGTGACCCTCGACCCACTGTTAAACCGCGATTGTGTGCGACTGTGTGCATGCGAAATATCCTTGCATTTCCGACTATTGCAGATTGGCTAAAGGTGCTGCAGACCAAATCCTACCTCAGAGTAGCTGCAGATAAAGAGCACCATCTGCATGAAGTTTGGATGCAGTTAAGCATTAGAGGCTGAAAAGGGGAAAATCATGGATTGCACAAGTAGAAGACACAATAAGACAAGGATGCATGCTGAAGAATATTGGGCGAGGAGAGCAGTAGTGAAAGCCAATGGAAAATTTGTATTGCAGGACAGCCTAGCACATGATACCACGACATCTAGCATGAGAATTGAGGTGGGTGGATATATAACCAGATTACGACTGGCACCGTTAGTATTGGAACTCTGCGCTGGCTGGTAATGATGAGGACAGAGCGCGTATGGGAATGCCCTGTGTGATGTGATGTGAGTTCTTAACTCAAATATCCATAAATTTGAAGGAATATTGCTATTGACCGATTGCAGGCAGGACAAGACACAGTAAGGTTGCCAGGCATCTTAACATGCTTCAGAGTACCACTAGCCACTGGCTCAGTTGCAGACAAACGTCGCAGTGGACGACACAGAATGAGAACAGAGGCGGAGATTCGTTTTATGCTTCTTCGTCACCTGAGAAACAGGTTTACAACAACTTTCTCAAATGCGCAGGCATTGCCTCCAGGACGTCAATGGCCTGATCAAAATTTTTGGAACAGACTGCATGACGTTGGACTTTGGGCAACGTCCACACCGAAAAGCAGTCTTTACGCGTCACCACCGCTAAAATCGATTTTTTTTTGGGGGGGGGGGGGGGGCAACCAACATCGTCCCTTGGCAGGGGACAATTAAGACGTGTCTGTCTCAGTGACGAATCTTTCTTTTTATTGCAGCGTCATGATGGACGGCCTAGGGTCTATCGTAAGCGAAATGAAGGTTTAGCCAAAAATTGTTGTGGTGGAGCTCTGCTGCACTGTGGTGGAGGTGTATTGACATGGTGAATGATCACTTACAACGGAAGGAGTCAACTGGTGCACATTGAAGGAAGCTTGAATGCGCAACGATACGTCAATGACATTTTTCGACCACATGTCCCTCCATCTTGGGATGCCAACAGATATATTTTTTTTTCAAGACGTCAACCCCAGACTCCATATTTGACGGCTGACCACGGAGTTCTTGGTTGCCAATAATATTCAAACCCTTCCCTGTCTGCAGACGTGAGTCCGATTGAGCACCTGAAGGATGCGCTGCAAAGACGTGTTTGTCGCCTAGACGTGGCTCCAGCCAATGGCCATGATCTGTTCCAGTCACTCCAGGAGGAGCAAGCAGCCACCTCACAGGCCCACATCACGACATCTGATCGCATCCATACCCAGGAGATGTTAGTCACTGACCCCCGTAAGAGGATGGCATACACCACACTAACGGGAAAGACCGTACACCTAAACAATACCGTGACCGAGATTGGGAAAGAGTGTCAAAATAATTGATGGAACCCTAATGTATTCTTGTGTAAAATTTAAATAATTTAACTTATAGCACTGCGAAGTCTGAGAAAGTCAAATTTGTGAGTACTATGTTCCTTTCAATAGCTGTGCATTTTGTGTGTGTGCGCGCGCGCGTGTGTGCGTGTGTGTGAGTGTGTGTGTGAGTGAATGTGTGTGCGTGTGAGTGTATGCGTGTGTGTGTGTGTGTTTGTGTGTGTAGAGACAGATTAGATTTTTTACGGCCCCGATAAAAATGTAAGTTTTTTGGGTGACAAGAATACTCACGTGTTATGGAATATAACTATGGTGCTTTTTGATATGTTTGTTAATGTATTACTTCATCCAATAAGTGTTGCCTATTTTTTTTTTTTTAAAGAAAACGTGCATTCTGCGTTATTCGACGGCCACTATTGTATTGTCGTTACCAAACCAGGAGCCCAACGTGCCCAACTGTGTTGGCGAGGAGCCAGGAACAGTAGATGTTGGATATTCATGTCTCGATTCAGGTCGATCGGTTTATTTCTCCACTTTTTGTTGCTAATAATTATTATGTAGAGTGTTTGTTTAGCGTCTTTCCGCCGAAACTGCATTTGTTAGTAAACAAGGTGTGCGACTTTGGTCGCTGTATCTTAAATGTGCAAATCTTTACATGTATTTAAATATAGACATATAGTTAGATCATTTCAATTTGTGGGGACTCACAGAGCATGTTGAGAAAGGTGGAGACAGGTATGCTTCGTGCAGAGTGGTAAGCATCACTTCAGAGGTCCCGGGTAATTAGCATCCTTCAGATATTCTCTCCAGGGCATGTATGACCGGTTCTGCACCATTTGGTAGTAAACTGTATGAAAAGCTAGATGTTGTGAGGGCCCTTTTGGGTGGGGGAGGGGATGTGAGTGAACAGTGCAAATAGATTATTACGGTCTGAGGCAAATGGCGCTGCGAGGAATTTCCAGTTGATCTGGCCGAAGCTGAACACTCAAGGGAAAGGCGAGACACAATCAGACAGTTACTGGTGTCATCGGAATTTGAACTCTTCGTTTGCTGCTGAAGATGGGGACGGAGCGCTTATGGAAGTTACCCGAGTGTTGTGATGTCGATTCCTAATTTAACATTCAACATTCATTCAACATTCTACTCGTGGGGACTTCATGGGGTTGTTGAGGGACTTCAATTTGCACAGACGTGCGCTTTTAACATTCAGCTTCCCCGTGTGGGTTCTGTGGCCCTATTACAGGGAAAACACTGCCTACCCAATGCATGTCGTAAGAGTCGACTAATTGGGAGCTTCCTTCAAAGTCGGAGTGCATCTGCCTGAGAGGCAAGGAACCAGCAGTCTACACACAGATGAGTAAGATCTGTAAAACGTATTCACAAACATGATGATGATGCTTGTTTTTGTGACATGTTTGAGTTGTATGTTACATTGTTTTCTGTTGTCCACAGGTGTACAAGTGGATGCCGTCATCAAAGGTTTCCAGGCCATAGACAGTCAGCTAGGCCTCATTAGGTCTCACAATTATGCCTGGGGCAACAGAGTTGCTTATCCTAAATACAAGGACAGGTAAAATGGTCGATCTGTATCCAATACTCATTTGCAGTATTACCTGTGGCAATGAAACAGTTTGTTTGTACAGCTTTATGCAACCACCACAATAAACGAAGAAACATACACACAAACATACTTATATAAATATAACTCACATGTGAACTTTTCAACATACGAACTTTTTCACGTCACAATCAAACATTTAGAAAAGAACTTATATTTAAGACACGCTGCGCACGTTAAACAAAAAAAAAAGGAAAAATTGTGAAGAGGTGCAAACTTTCATCAAAATTAGGTTCGTACCTCACAATACCACATCAGTCCAACAGCTAATGGATCTATGTATTATTTCCAACTTGAAAAAGCTTTTTATCAAAGCTCTTTCCAGACACCCGGACCGGCAGACATGTAGACCAACAGGCAGACATATAGGCAGAGGAAACACTATTACAATGACACACAACAGAGTGCACGGGCTCGTATCTACAGTGGAACCTCGCTTAACGAGCGTTATTCGTTCCAGAATCATACTCGTTATGCGAAACAATTTATCTCATATAAATTAATGTAAAATGCAAAAATGCGTTACATGTCGAAAAAAAATGCTCACAAAATGCTATGTGTAACGTTGATCCAAAGAAAATTATATACATATTGTTAAGGAGAGTGAATCATTAATCTTTTCTTCAAACGCAGAACGAGCCCAGCTGGAATGCGAATTCGATTTGCTGGAAAAAAAAAGTCGAAATAATTATGATACATAACTAATTTTTTTTTTTTTTTTAAACCAGAAAGATGTCCAGAGACATTTGCTTTTGCCAACGCTTCAAAATTTGACGAAAATGCGACACAGCATTTTCTATTAAATAAATTTGCAACGCACATAGCCACTTCCTTATTAGGGTGATGCTTCTCAATGTGAGATGCAACAGTTTACCATGCTTTCAGCATTTTTTTTTATATATCGCTAGAAGATTGTTGCTTTGCTGTTACCTCTTCCTCCTCCTCCTCTGACCAACTTTCCTCCAAAACATCTTGCTGTGACACACAGTGCAACTCCATAAACTCTTAGGTGGTCAGCTCTTGGCTGTGCTCTTCCACAAGCTCTTCGATATCACTGTTATCCACCTACAATCCCATGATAGTGGCCAAAGACATAATCTCGTTGACTACAGGTTCCACAGGTACTGTCTCGAACCCCTCAAAGCCACAAATTGACAACGCTCTCCGGCCAAAGCTTCTTCCAAGCAGAAGTTAGGGTTCTTTTGGTAACCCCTTCCCCCGCCTTGACGATCATCTTGAGGCAGGCAACGATGTGGAAGTGATGTTTCCAAAACTCTTCGAGAGTGAGGTTGGTCCCTCCAGTCACCTGAAAACAATGCTCGAAGTGCGCTTTAGTGTAGAGCTTCTTAAAGTTAGAAATAACTTGCTGGTCCATGGGCTGGAGTAACGGAGTGGTGTTGGGAGGCAGAAACTGGATCTTGATTAACTTAACTTCATCAGGGATTTCATCTTGTAGGCCTGGAGGATTCATGTACATATATCACAATATAACAAAAGTTTAAGAAAATGTGTGATCACAAGCGACTCTACGATGCTACTAGAACGTGTGCTAAACACAGACTGATGTAACAGGCGCACAATTCGGGACTTCCCCTCTCCTCGCCACTCGTTATGCGAAACGTCGCTCGTTAAGCAAGTCATTTTTTTTTTTACATGAGAGGTGCTCGTTAAGCGAGGTTCTACTGTACTTGTTATCGTTATTTCGCAGATTTGTAATGGATATATCGCCATCAGCTGACATCATCATCTCCGGGAAGAAATACTTCATGCTGTTCTATATAGTCACTTCTAACATTAGCGTGGGTATGCATTATTTAAAATATAATTTGGTAACTGAAGTTACTAGACACATCTCAAAATATTTCGTCACGTTTGGCTTGTCAAAGTTCATGTTTAAAAACCTTACAGTGATATGTCTAGTGACTACAGATTTATTCAATTCACTGATGGTGTTATTTAATGTCTGGAATGCGTATTTGTGTTTATTTTTTTTTTTACATCTTTTTTTTTTTTTTTTTAGTACGACTGCGACCCTTGATCTTATTTCAGTTTCACTGAGATTATTTGTGTTTTTGTTAGTCGCAGACAGGAAAAGTTCCGTAAACTCTGAAATTTAAATTAAAACAAATATTGTTTAGCTTTGCAAAACTGCCAATAGGCTTCAGAAAGCATCTAGTAGGCATACATGGGAAGTGACAGTCAATAATACAAACATATGAATGGATATAATGCAGTTGTAATTACAGCAGTAAAAACTTTGCATGGTACAGAGGTCTATCCCTCTTGGGCCACATAGGAAAACTATATGCAAAGTTATTAGAATGGAAAGGTAAGCTTATAAGGGAACAGCAGCTAAGTATATCACAATTTAGTGTCAGGAAGGGACAAGGTTGCACAGATTCTTTATTTACACTAAGATAAGTTTACGATGAACTGAATATTTTGTTACTGGAAGCCACCAACATGTCACACCTTTGGAGAAAAGTATCTGATTTATTTCAAGAGAACTGCGATCATAGCAGCCATGCTGTGAATAAATCGTAGGAGACAACCATATAATGGCAGAAACCATATCTTCCTCGAAAATGGCAAGCCTCAAATCGACCAGTCAACACTAAGGCGAAAGTCCTACGCTGGACACCACGAAATAGGGAAGACCCGAATCGACAGAAATCGCAGGCTAAAACCACCAACACTACGAATCACACAATGAAACAGCAGAACTTTTCGGAGCCACAAGTATAACTAAGACTACTTAGGAGAGGCTAGCTCTCTAGGTAGCGGTTGAACTTGGCTAATTAACTGATCGACTGACCGACCATTTTGGCAATGATGTAAAATTTGATGAAAATAATGATATTGTCAAATTCCTCGTATTCCATTAAAAATAAAGTAACTATAAATTTATCAAAGTGTTTCTGGGTTAATGTTACTGACATCACTTGACATAATGGTAGTAGAGGTCCCTTTTCCACGCATTTAGGCATATGGGGCATATAGGGCTAGACTGATATTTTTATAGACCAATCAGCACAAGATGGGTGATGGGATCAGCATCACGCCGGCAGGCTTTACTTCCCGTGACTTCTGACATTATTGTTGCCTTTTTCAAACGTGATCTGTCTTGTACTCAGGTGATAGACTCATCATTAACAATTCAAACGGTGCTGACGGCTCACTGGACACCGACGGTTGTGAAGTTTCTTCAACATGGCAGATGGATGATCTCCACAACATTACTTCTTCTACGGTGCGCTTCGAGTTCTTGCTGAATGCCACATCACGTCCAAATTTGGGCTTTGACATCTGCTTCCAGTGTAAGTATAGTTCCTGTTCATTTGTAATTCTGCCTTTGAGTTCCAGAGAATCGTCATCTGTAAAAATGACTTTCTGAACAGCAGTCAGCATTTTATGAGACATCTAAGAGTACATGCTGTTCTTATTTACAGATTTTCCACCCCTCAAGATTATAACTATTTAATTTCCAAAGACGGCCAGGTACAATGAAAATAGGGCGGTTTTGTGTATATTTTTTTTTTTTTAAGTATCCAGAAGCCATGAGTTGTTAACCCTTAGGCTCGGTTTTATGGATATCGCAACCCTTCGCCTTGATTCCATGATAAATATCGTAAATCTGGGAGAAATGTGGTTTTTTTCTGCCAACCCCCGGGTGTGAACCCGGACCACAAGGAGTTCGTCACCTGGTCACCGCGCAGTCCGGTTTAGCCAACTACGCTAGCGAGACGGACGTTTTGTGTAATAAATGTAAACATAAACTTTAAACAGTAAATTGTAATATTTTCACTTCTAAAAAAATTAAGTTACTACCAAATTACTTTTTAAAAGCTCAGTAATCTTTACAGGTTCTTCGATATTGATTAGGAGTGCCCGGAACTAGATACATTCTGATATCTAAAGAAACTGCTTATTTGCTAATTGGACGATGAATATGAATGGACTTTCAATGAATAAATATTGAGCCAGCTAAGCTAACATCTATTATTTCTAGTCACATACAGTGGAGATTTTCATTCAATAAAAGTTATTATACCTCATCCTAAATATTATTGGCTGTGTGTAATATGTATGTGTACATGTGTTTTTTTCCTGTTTGTGTACTAAACATTTTAGTATTTTCTCAGATCAAATGTTTTTTGTAAACATATTGTGCTATTTTATATCTCCAAAATCTTTGTTTCCGACAAATCCTGTATGGGGCAATGAAACAGTTTCTATTTCTTCACATGTACTATTGTATTTTCATGTATGCTGTTTTATATTTGTGAGAATAATTGTACATGTATGGCAGCTTTTCCTTATCCTCACTTCAAGTGTTGTATGATTTCTATGTGTGGACTAACAGGGTTTGATGTGGAGACTGTCAACACTCTTGTGACGTTTAACCAGACAGTGGAACATTGCAAGCACGCCATGAAGACACCAGGGATCGGTAACAATTTTTGTGTCTTTTTATGTGCATGAATACAGAGACGTTATTATTGTATTAACTACAGTATGTGCAAGAATGCTAAGCTTAGGTACTAAAAGATTAGCAAGATCAACGAATTATTCTTTGCTGATGAACAGGCCTTGATAGCAGATTAAACCCATATCATTGCAACAACATCTAACATAACATGGATGAGAAATGTAACACAATAATATGAGAATCAGTACAGATGATGTTAACAAAAAGAATGAAGCAGAAACTAAATACAGGAGTATACTGTGAAGACATTAGAGATCCGAGTTTATCTAGGAACAACATTCATCGAAGATAGGAATTTAGATCAAGAAATTAGCATCATATGCAGTAAAGTAAGCTAAGTACTGGGACAGCTAGCGCCAAACCCTTTCCTACCATCACCTCATCATAAAACAGTTCCCATCAGCACAAAGGGAGATTTCATCAGAAGCTTATTGATTCTTCCTCTTCGATAATTAGTAACGACGAAAATGAGATGCATGAGAAGAGCTATACCAGTGACAAGAATAGAGCTATACCAGTGACAAGAATAGAGCTATACCAGTGAGAAGAACAAAGCTATACCAGTGACAAGAATAGAGCTATACCAGTGACAAGAATAGAGCTATACCAGTGACGAGAATAGAGCTAAACCAGTGACAAGAATAGAGCTATACCAGTGACAAGAATAGAGCTATACAAGTGACAAGAATTGAACTATTCCAGTGACAAGAATAGAGCTATACAAGTGACAAGAATAGAGCTGTACCAGTGACAAGAGTATAGCTATACCAGTGACAAGAATAGAGCTATACCAGTGACAAGAATAGAGCGATACCACTGACAAGAATAGAGCTATACCAGTGACAAGAATAGAGCTATACTAACCAGTGACAAGAATAGAGCTATACTAGTGACAAGAATAGAGCTATACCAGTGACTAGAATAGAGCTATACCAGTGACGAGAATAAAGCTATACCAGTGACGAGAATAAAGCTATACCAGGGACAAGAATAGAGCTATACCAGTGACAAGAATAGAGCTATACCAGTGACAAGAATAGAGCGATACCACTGACAAGGATAGAGCTATACCAGTGACAAGAATAGAGCTATACCAGTGACAAGAATAGAGCTATACCAGTGACAAGAATAGAGCTATACCAGTGACAAGAATAGAGCTATACTAGTCACAAGAATAGAGCTATACCAGTGACAAGAATAGAGTTATACCAGTGACAAGAATAGAGCTATACCAGTGACAAGAATAGAGCTATACCAGTGACAAGAATAGAGCTATCCCAGTGACAAGAGTAGATAAAATCAAAAAGGAGATCGTTGGAGAACAAAGGTACAGAGCCAGTTCCAATTTACACACAATGACAGCAAATCAAATGGTTTTCCCAGCTAGAGAGAATGCCTAATGACACCGTACCATACCAGGCAGACACTAAACGAGAAGAAACACCTTCAGCACAAGGTAGATATTATTATATATTATTATTATTATATTATATATATGTATATATATGTGTGTGTGTGTGTGTGTGTGTGTTTCGAACTAAAAAAACCAGCATAAAACTCAGAACTTTCCCATAAGCGCTCAATCCTCATCTTCAGCAGCCATCTAAGAGCTTCAATTCCGATGTTGCCAGTAGCAGTTTGATTATATGTCCGTCTTGCTTTTCATCTGAGTCTAAAGTGTCGACCAGATCCCATGGTCACTCCCAGCTGCATCAACTCTCCAGACCATAATTATCTATTTGTGCCTCTGTATTGTTTAGTTGCTTCCAACGAGCCTTGATCTCGCTTGTCATGCATAAATTCATCACCCGTTGGTTCAGGACCTGCAAGCCTATCTCACTGTTCATTTCCTTACACACCTGCATTCCACAGAGAAAATATTTAAAGAACGCCAAGTACCCGGATTCTCTGAAGCGATGCTTGCCACTCTGCACGCAGTATACCTTTATTAACATGCTTTGTGAGTTCCTTATAATCATGAAATATTCAGCTGGTTCGTAATCCATTGGAAAGCTGCTTTGTCTGCCTCCACCTTGATCTCAAACTAGCTGTTGTAGTATCAACTTTATCGACTTTGTTGCACTAAGCGTTGTCCATTCATTTTCACAATAGACCCCCACAGACACTTCTTCTGCCTCTCAACACAGAGCCATCTGTGTAGATAACCACATCACTTGGACTGAAATTATCATGCATCAGTTCTTGAATTTCTGATTCTGCAGTGCCTTCTGGCAAATCACTGCATTCCCGGCCAAATGTGATAAGAACCCTTTAAAAGTCTGCTTTTTGCTTGTACGCTTTGACCCACTCCGCTCCTCTCTAATTTTTTTCCCGCATATACACATCTCTAATCGTGTCTTCTGTCTGTACCATCCAAGACTTTTCTCTAATTAACCCATGACCCTTAGCTGTATCCAGGGCGTCTTTATGTTTGTTTTAGTACCCAGAAGCCATGAGTTGTTAACTCTTAGGCTCGGTATTATGGATATCGCAAACCTTTCGGCCTTGATTCCATTGTAAATACCGTAAATCTAGAGGAAAATGTGGCTTTCCTGCCTACCCCCGGGAGTGAACCCGGACCTCAAGGAGTTCGTCACCCGGTCTCCGCGCAACCAGGTTTAGCCAACTACGCTAGAGAGCCGGGCGGGCGTCTTGAAGAATGTGGTTTTGTCAGTGGCTACCCTGCGATATGACATGGCTTGCAGCACCGTAAACCTGTCTACAATAATCGGTATTGCAAGGATGTATCGCATACACTCTACTTGGCTGCCTATTGTACTTCATTCTATGTGCCTTAAAGCTTCACTAGCTGACTCATCGATACGGCGAGCAGTCCCAGTCTATAGTCTTTTTCTTGTAGACCAAGAACAAAATGAAAAGTTAACACAGGACAAACTCTACAACAGCACGATGTGTTTATGATCGAGGCGACAAGAAAAGAGCAAGAAGCAGAAGTATATTTCTCCCTCGACAACCGAAGCGGTCAAAAATGAGGTGAAGAAGAATTTGATTATGTTAGATATTGCCATAGAATTACGTAATAATTGTGTAATAAGGATGTGTAAAATAATTTTAGGAGAACCTAGAACGTAGTCTATGGAAGGTGAAAGTCCATTCTAGATCGGCACAGACATGTGTCTTTTTAACACCTCCACATTGCCACAATTGCTTTACAACACAATACGGTCTCGAAATTTTTTTTTTTTTTTTTTTGTTCTAAACAAGGTCATATGATAAAGATGTTAACTCTGTAGACAGTCGATAAACCTACAAACACTGACCACAATCAAATTTATTTCCTCTGTGACCATAGTGTATAGTTATTTAACGGAATTCTTGCTGGTACTGTCCTTGTATTATCATTGTTTCACACAATTTACGTTAATTTTTGCAGCTTTTGCCACTTTTGATGTGATCAAAGATAGAACAACACAGGGATATAAAGGGTTTGTCAAAAGTCACTCCAAGTTTCCGTGGAACTATCCTCGAGACAATGCAGACTTTCAGTTTATAAACAGCTGGTCATCAGAATTGCATGTGCTGCAGGCGCCCAATAATCTGAAGCATCTCAGACTGCAAGTCGCGGAGCTGAAACTGGCTGCAGGAGACAGACTTCAGATTATTAACAGACACCAGAAAGGTCTGCCTAGAAATAGTCATCATCATCATCATCATCATCATCATCATCATTATCAATTCTCTTTATGCCTAGTGGCACATGAGGCTTCAGAGAGGAATGTCCATGCTTTCCTGTCCTGTGCAATCTTCAGTGCAGTTTTCCATGCCAGAGATGCTGCATTCAGGTCACTCTCCATCGTTCGTCTTCATGTTGTTTTGGGCGCCCCTTCTTTCTCTTTCCCTCTGGTGTCCATGTGAGAGCTGTTTTAACAGGTATATCAGGATTCATTCTCATAACGTGGCGAAGCCATTTCCATCTTCTCTTGGTTAAAATACTGTCTAGAGTTTCTTGGTTTGTGACTTGAAGTAGTTTAGTGTTTGAGATTGTATCTGGCCAGAAAATGTTGATAATTCTACGTAGACATGTGTGGTGGAAGGTGAATAGCTTGTGTGCATCTTTTTAGGTCATTATCCAGCATTTTTCTCTATACAGAGGAACAGGCAAAATAATGCTCTTGTAGAGTCGGAGTTTTGTTCCTCTGCAGCAATTGTTGGATTTCCAGATGTGCCTCATCCTTCCAAAAGCAGCTCTAGCTTTGTTTAGGCGTGACTGTATGTCTTCCTCTGTCCCTCCCAGTAGGGACACCACACTGCCAAGATATGTGAAATGTTCTATATTTCCAAATGTTTGGTTATTTATGGTATTGGTTTGGACTGTTTGTCATGATCTTAGTTTTCCTTGTATTTTTTCTCAGTCCCACTAGTTCTGCTGTGCTGTGTAGTCTGTTACATTTTTGTGTGTATAATTTCATGTTTATGTGATAGGAGTGCTATATCATCTGCAAAATCAAGGTCCTCAAGCATGGTAAATATAAACAATCACATCAGGAAATGTTCTTCGAGAGTAATGTTTGGTTGTGTTTTCTTTTCTCATCCTGGATTCAGTTAACCACGCACGCTCGCAACTCACACACACACACACACACACACACACACACACACACACACACACAAAGTGCTGTCATGAATAGTACTATATTCAAAAGTACACGTATCTATATTTTAGGACTCTAATTAGCACCGGACACAGAATGAAAACACAAAGTAAACAATTTCTCTAACGTAATAGGAAAGCAATAGATGTGAGGCAATGAATGGCGCCTGCTTGACATGGGTGTGCAGATGATTCATCCAAGCGACGTGCATAATTGTGAAGACACTTGTATCAATGTAATCACATTGCTTAACATATTTGAAAAAGCGATCTGTAACAGACAATGCAGCTCTCCGAGCTTCATTAGAAATGTTACAAGTAAGCAGAAGATGAATGACGAAGATTCATTAATTTACTTAACAATTACCATGACATGTGCCATTTAACAATTACCATGACATGGGCCATTTAATAATTACCATGACATGTGCTATTTAACAATCACCATGACATGTGCCATTTAACAATTACCATGACGTGTGCCATTTAACAATTACCATGACATTTGCAATTTAATAATTACCATGACATGTGCCATTTAACAATCACCATGACATGTGCCATTTAACAATTACCATGACACGTGCCATTTAACAATTACCATGACATGTGCCATTTAACAATTACCATGACATGTGCCATTTAACAATTACCATGACGTGTGCCATTTAACAATTACCATGACATGTGCCATTTAACAATTACCATGACATGTGCCATTTAACAATTACCATGACGTGTGCCATTTAACAATTACCATGACATGGGCCATTTAACAATTATCATGACATTTGCAATTTAATAATTACCATGACATGTGCCATTTAACAATTACCATGACGTGTGCCATTTAACAATTACCATGACATGGGCCATTTAACAATTATCATGACATTTGCAATTTAATAATTACCATGACATGTGCCATTTAATAATTACCATGACATGTGCCATTTAACAATTACCATGACATGTGCCATTTAACAATTACCATGACGTGTGCCATTTAACAATTACCATGACATGGGCCATTTAACAATTATCATGACATTTGCAATTTAATAATTACCATGACATGTGCCATTTAAAAATCACCATGACGTGTGCCATTTAACAATTACCATGACATTTGCAATTTAATAATTACCATGACATGTGCCATTTAACAATCACCATGACATGTGCCATTTAACAATTACCATGACACGTGCCATTTAACAATTACCATGGCATGTGCCATTTAACAATTACCATGACATGTGCCATTTAACAATTACCATGACGTGTGCCATTTAACAATTACCATGACATGTGCCATTTAACAATTACCATGACATGTGCCATTTAACAATTACCATGACGTGTGCCATTTAACAATTACCATGACATGGGCCATTTAACAATTATCATGACATTTGCAATTTAATAATTACCATGACATGTGCCATTTAACAATTACCATGACGTGTGCCATTTAACAATTACCATGACATGGGCCATTTAACAATTATCATGACATTTGCAATTTAATAATTACCATGACATGTGCCATTTAATAATTACCATGACATGTGCCATTTAACAATTACCATGACATGTGCCATTTAACAATTACCATGACGTGTGCCATTTAACAATTACCATGACATGGGCCATTTAACAATTATCATGACATTTGCAATTTAATAATTACCATGACATGTGCCATTTAAAAATCACCATGACGTGTGCCATTTAACAATTACCATGACACGTGCCATTTAACAATTACCATGACATGTGCCATTTACTTACAGTCGTATTGGTCTTGCTCCTTTTAATCATAATTTAAAATTATATCTAAAGTCTGTAATAAGTAATATGTGCCATGAAACGAAAAAAAAAACACAAAAAAAAAAACATACACAGAAAGGGTGTCTCATAAATAGTACGCATATTTAAAAGGTCTAAATTCTGACAGTCAGATGTCGGTCTCTCGTGATTGTATCCATCCAAAAAGTGTTGAACAAACTGCTTAGACTAAGAGAAATCAGATCCGGTTTTTAAAAACCCGGTTCCTATCGTCAATAACAATGCATTTTATGCTTGAGTCCACAAGCGACTTTGCCTCTTCCTTTTGTGTTCTGAAAACACGGTTAGTTTCTGTTTAGATGTCTACTTATCATCATCAATGTTTTATTAAAAAGCTTCTACATCGACACGGAATGACAATAACTATTGCTGCCCATCCAACAATTTATCACAAATGTTCTTTCGAAAGTCGCTTAATGACAGAAGTGAAAATTGATGATGATGAATAAATGTTACCAGATATACATTCCCTACATCTATGTGCCAGTGAAGGGTTGTAAGTCCATGATGTCAAGCGAAATTAAACTATTGAAATGATAACGGTTTATCATTTTGATTGTAATCTTCAAGAGTATGTGATCTACCTAAACAGTTCCATTTGATGTCTGCTTGTTTTAGTTTCAGTTCTAGAGCTGCTGAAGACACGAAGATATGACTTCCAGGGTCAAAGCGTGACCTTCAACTTCTCAGTACGTCATTCCAGTGACCAGACTGATGCCGGATTCCTGATCTGTTATCAATGTAATGCATTTCTAACGTGATGCGTTTAATGCTTGAAGTTTTATATTATAACTATTTTTGACATTCTTTCAAATGTCATTACAGGCCATAATTTTTGTGAATCTATCATTATTGACAATTTAATCCGCATTGCATTTTTAAAAAATGATTTCCCATGCTCATTCGGTACCTCATCCTTTTGTGTGGCGTGTACTCTACACATATTTATGTGAACATTATGTCTTTTATTCTGTTGTCTTACGTGTACTCCATCTGTTAGGTACCTTTCATATTTTTCTTTCTGTTGTCTACTTTATCTCTCGCGTAAAATATTTTCATTTTTCCTTCTGTTAAATGTCGTGTACTTTCCTATCTGTTGTGTGGATTACATATGTCACCCTATCAAGTAAGTGCTCTGTCTCTTGTTTATATTGTGTCTTTAATTCTGTTGTCTGGCGCATGGCATCTAGTGCAGTCTCTACAATCCCTTGCGTACATTCATTGTTTTATTCTGTTATCTGGTGTGTATTTTATACTTTTATTTTGTCATCTGTCGTGTATTTCATTCTTTCATTCTGTTATCTGTAGTGTATATCATTCTTGCACCCTATTATCTGTCGTGTGTATCATTATTTCATTCTGTTATCTATCGTTATTCTTATTCTTCCATTCTGTCATGAAAATCATTCTTTTTTCCTTCGTGTGTATCCTTCTTTCATTCTTTGTGGATGGGTGGGTATAATATGAATCTGTCGCTACAATAAATGTGTTCCCAGTATATATTAATGTGACACTGTGGTCTGCATGTAGGTTGCTGTTAAAGAAATTTCAATATATCTTCTAAAGGGTACACCCCGAAGCAAGATAGTCTGGCGACTGCAACAGCTGACCTCTGCAGTACCTTCACTTACCATGGTAAGTTTCCAGGAGAGATCATTGTCTGAAAACGCTAGACTTCCCCAATGCCAGGCCAAGCGTGTACCCACATGTTTTAACTCTGGTGTATACTCAATTGTTGTAACTCTGGCATATACACAATTGTTGTAACTGACGTGTATCCACTTGTTCTAGCTTTGGCGTATACACAATTGTTCTAACTATGGTGTGTACACAATTGTTCTAACTAAGGCGTATATAAACATTTTTAAACTCTGGCATGTACCCAATTGTTCTAACTGTCGTATACCCCATTGTTCTAACTTTGGCGTATAACCAATTGTTCTAAGTCGTATAATCAATTGTTCTAACTAAGGCGTATACTCTATTATTCTGTGTTTTCTCATGTACAACACAAGTCAAGATCTCATTTTTTCATTTAAAATATGCTCAGTACATTAGATTGATCGATTTATCCCCACCAGGCTGTTACCTGAAAGTCTATTATCCTGAGGTCTAATTTAAAAAAAAAAAAAAAAAAAACAGCATGCATCTGGCTGGCAAGCCATCATGAATAAATTCCCGATCCCTGTTCAACTTCCGGAGAAGTTATAGTTTGAACACCCGTAGCGCATACACCAGCCCTGTGTGGCATGCAGTCCTGTGTGGCATGCAGTCCTGTGTGGCATGCAGTCCTGTGTGGCATGCAGTCCTGTGTGGCATGCAGTCCTGTGTGGCATGCAGTCCTGTGTGGCATGCAGTCCTGTGTGGCAAGCAGTCCTGTGTGGCATGCAGTCCTGTGTGGCATGCAGTCCTGTGTGGCATGCAGTCCTGTGTGGCATGCAGTCCTGTGTGGCATGCAGTCCTGTGTGGCATGCAGTCCTGTGTGGCATGCAGTCCTGTGTGGCATGCAGTCCTGTGTGGCATGCAGTCCTGTGTGGCATGCAGTCCTGTGTGGCATGCAGTCCTGTGTGGCATGCAGTCCTGTGTGGCATGCAGTCCTGTGTAGCATGCAGTCCTGTGTGGCATGCAGTCCTGTGTTGCATGCAGTCCTGTGTAGCATGCAGTCCTGTGTGGGTGAGGACCGCATTTGTTCATTCCGATTCCGATATTAGGTGAGTGGAAAGGGGCGGGGGGGGGGGGGGGGGGGGGGGGGGGAGGCATCGACCACGTTCAACCTGCTGCGAGCAGCTTTCGTTATAACTGTGGTCTGGTTTCTTTGTGTCAAATATATTAGCTAAGTTTAACCGCTTTAATAGTTTTTTTCCCCCTTTGCCATTAAACATTGAAAGAAAGTGTCCACACTAGTGTGTTCTCTTGTCCATCGTTGAATGTCCGGGTCTTTTATTTTCAACCTTTGGTTGACGGGGTGTGCTTTTCGCCATCCGATCCCTAATTTCGGCTGCGATTGTGTTTTGTATAAAGCGCTTATTCTCTTGATTTCCAGTTTAACATATTTGTTGCTAAGCTACTGAGCCCTGTCTTCCATCTTTGGGGTACAATTAGTAATATTATATTACTTGTTAATTGTGTTTAAGTATCTTATTGAGAGTCCTGATCATCCTTTCAAGACCTGCACACTTCTTTATTTATAATGGTTCTCAAAATCGTGCGAAAAAAAGAAAGAAAAAGAAAAACGTTTTTGATTTAGAAACATGTCTATTTGAGCCACCGCCTCTCTTTTTCCCTACATTTACTTATAACATACCTACACTGATGTTGTCTTTCAACTTGGTCGACATTTCTCCGTAAATGCAGACTTTGCCTCCCCCACCCCCTCCCCTCCCTTTTCTTTCTTTCTTTGCTCTTGATTTTGTTCACTAAAACGGATGTGAATGCAACACTTTAGTCCTGGCAGAAGGCCAAAGTTTAGAACTAGACTAACAGCCAGAACTTTTTACTATTGTTTACAGCCAGTAAACGATAAGAAAGACGTCAACTGGTAGCAAAACAGCCGTGCGTTATCACGACCAAACTGTCGAGTCATGTATTTGATTTTCTTGACTCTTAGAAGTTTCTATTTGTTGCTCTCTCTCTTTCTCTCTCTCTCTCTCTCTCTCTCTCTCTCTCTCTCTCTCTCTCTCTCTCTCTCTCTCTCTCTCTCTCTCTCTCTCATATGCTGTCTCTTTCTGCTTGCTAGTCTGCCTGGTCGCGTCCCTTTTTTCTTCCTCCTCCTGAATCTGCTGTCTTCGACCTTATAGAATGACCATTAATAATTCTAATTAGAAAAGTCAGTCATCTTCAAACAAGAAGATTTAGAATTACTTGCCAACTGTTTTCCTGTTTCCTTTGTTTTATCTGTCATTCATTGCCTGCCCGGCTACATCTTGCAGTGTTTTATTGTTGGTTATCTTAAACATAGGCTGCGTGTGCATTACTGAAGCGTCCGTTGTTGACTTTTCATATGTAAGTCTTGTCTAAAGCAGCCAGTAAATCACCCACTCCTGACACTAGTTGATTTTTCTCATATTGTTCAGGTAATAAGTGAACTTATGTGTGTGTATGTATGTGTTTTTTTTTATACATACATAAGCTGCATACGTACACGTGTTGTTAATTAATCTTTTCCAGTGCTTCCTGGATATTCAAATTGATTTTTGTTTTACACCTCTATACAGTTTTGCGTCTTAGATTGCAACGAAGGCGTTCACAGCAGCTGATTATATTATGTTCCCGACTGTTTCAGATTGAACTTTGTAGACATATCTCTTGTGCTAGATAATCTGTGCATAGAACTCTAATCATGGTTATAAATCGTTTCTTCTTTCGTTGACGGAATGTACAATATGTGCACACAGCGTCTGCTGAGCATTGCATAATGCGTTGTTATGTATCTTATGTTTGATCTGACCATACTAATAGAACATGGCTGGATATAAAAACTTGCAGTAGGTTTGAAAGGAACACACGCAAGCTTGTTTTCATGATGATGAATATTTTGTTTTTTTAACATGTACATTGACATCTTCGGGAACCAGCAGAGTTCTGGTTTTATTATATAATGTTAACATTGTAAATGAGATAGCACTTTTCCCTTATGTTCGGTCTTTGTTTCATTCAGTCCAAACTTTACTCTGTTAACTGTCATTCTGATGTCTTGACACCGTTTTTTTTTAAATTTTCAGTTGATCCCTGTGGGAAAAGGAATAAAAAGCTCCTCAAAGATAAATGTGGCCTTTGGAAGAAGCCAAAGAAGAATGGGAACAAACAACACAAATACAGGAAACAACATCGTAAAAGCTCAAAATAATATATATATATATATATATATATATATATATATATATATATATATATATATATATATATATATATATATATATATATATATAGCGCTTCACGGTTTGAGAAACTGTGGTAGAACCCCCTTTGTGAAAAAAATAGAACGATGTACTTACAGTAGCAGCTTCCCATTCAGATGTTCCATCGTCGGTGAGTGGAATGTAACTCTAGTCACTCGTGGAAGTTTCTTTCTCAAGCAAATTCACCACCTCGATGCTCAGATCATGCAGAATGTAGATGTTTTTCTTCTTCATGGTCCATGGCATTCTTCGAAAATTGTTCAGATACTCCAGTACTAGCACTTTCCAGAATTTGACTCAATGTTTTGGATACAAAATACCTAATTTTTGCCAAAAATTCATGCGTTCAGAAGAACATTGATTAGTCTGCAGTCGAGAGTCGATCGGTGCCAGTGCCAGGGTTGCCAGATGATAAACTACATTTTAAGCCAAATGACGACCCAAGATGCTTCAGAAAACGCCAAATAAAATGTAACATTGTACCCACTTCACATCAAAAGCTCTAGATTGAATTCTTCACTGTCATCCTCACTGGAACAAGTGGAAGACACAGCGTAAACCTTTTGAGATGTAAAATCTTTCAGCATTTTCTCAGATGGGGTAAAGTCATTGAAACATTTCTTTGATATCAATAGTTCTACTCTAATTCGCACAACTGCATCAAGAAAATCCAGTTGTATTTTGTTTCTTGCTTTTGATTTAACTGAAGTTAACAAGAGAGAATATTTTCTCAACTACAGCATTGCTAACTGGCATTATTAGGCAAGTAAAGGCGAAAGTAGTCAACGCTTTAAATGTCTGATGTCGAAGTACGCCTATCCAAAAGTCTTCACTGTTTGTAGAAGTCCATCCATTCTTAAATATAGCTTTTTCTTTCCATTTGACAAGACTCAGTTTTCTGTACTGTTCTTATATAGTACTGATGTTGTTTTCTGTCAGGTGTAAAAATTGTAACTCTGAAAACTGTGCCCTTGACACTTGATTTAAAACTGCCACAGGGCTCAGTTTTGACAGATTTTTAAATCTATTCTTAGTGGGAGGTCTACATGTAGTTTGATCGAGAGCTTCTTTTAACACAGACATGCATCTTTCTTTAACATTTTTTTTAAATTTCTAACTGATCTTCAGCTCCATTATTCTTCTGCAGGAATGCAATTCATTCTGTTAATAATTCTAAAGTCAACGTAATGAATTGTTTTTCTGCGCATTGACAATCATATAATCTGGTAGCGAAAGCCTATGGAACATCTTTAGTGCAAGACAGCCTAGTATATGACACCACAACATCAAGCATGAGAGTGGAGGTGGAGGTGGTAACTGCAGCTCTCCGTTGGCCAGAGAACATGATACATACACATGTCGTAATTATAACAGACTCTGAAAGCACGCTGAAAGGGATGCTTCGAGCCGAGTGGCTAGCTCCACTGGAAAGGTCACGGGTGGTGAGCATACTTTAGATCTTTTCTCCAGACTATGCGGGTGTAGTGGGTAATGAACAGCCAGATAGACTGGCTTGTATCTGCACAACTGGGTGGTGAATCGATACACGACAAGGCAGATGTGGCCTCGGTTCTTTGAGAACAAGCAACGGAATCAGTAGAGAAAGGAGATTATGGCCTGGACAGAATGAGGTACCTGGGTGTAACCAGAGGGTCTGGCCGGCTCACTACTCTTAGAGGAAAGGCAAGACGGACTTTTAACGAGATTGTGACCGGTACCATCAGTATTGAAACTTAGCCCTGGCTGCTGAAGATGAGGACTGAACATGCATGGAAATGCCCCGAGTGCTGTGATGTCAATTCTTGACCCATCTCAGCTCAACTCAACTCAACTTAACTAATACTCGAGAAGACTATTTTGCACGCTGACTGAGTGACACACACACACACACACAGATGCGTAAAGTGTGCAATGGTATGCAAATGTGTGTATATTTCTGTATGAAGTGAGTAAAATTATCCATTATGGCCAGTATTGGAGCAGAATCAGGGAAAAGTTCAACAATCAGCTGTGCTCGTTTAAATAAAACGTTCTGTACAACTGAAGCATACATTTGGATTAAACACATTGTCACATATCACTCCTGTCGCGTGCCTAATGTAAGGATTTCTCCTTCAGAACCAACAGCACTCAGAGATAATTATGTTGAGTCGTTTGGCTGGTATTGGTCTAAGGGATTCCCCGTGGCCAATATACGATCAACTTATCTCTGGAGTAGGGCAGCTCAAGTATTGGCACTACAAAATATGTCAGTATATATATATATATAATATTTCTAGGCACACTTGGCTGGTCACCCCCACTACTTACTAAAGAAAGCCCCCAGGTTATGATAGTTCATTATCATAACCATGTTAACACATATAATGAAGATACATGCACACACAACTGCTAAACACTTAAAAAGGTGACATAGAGAAACCTAAGTCAGCCATGAAAATGAATGCATGTAATCAGTATAATATATATACATATAATAGTGAAGTGAATTCCAGCTATCAGAGGAAGAATCTCAGAAAATAATGTCTAGATACCAAAGATACTACACAGACAGCAGGTCCTGGAGATGACATCTTATCATCATTGGGAAACATAGGAGCTGTGAGGAATAAAGCACATAAGGCATCAAACTGCACTTAGCCTCTTTCTGTCTATGATGCCTCCCTCAGCTCCTGATGATTCGACTGTCTTTGACTCTGGTAATTCTGCTCAACTGGATCAGGTAGTGAAAGAGTACTTCACCATAGAGGACACAGCAACTGTACCGGTACTCAGCAAGTCTCTCCCACCAGTTAGGTCACAACAGGGTATCTGAGCTACACCAAGCTCTTGCACTGGTAGGCGGTTTGAGTTATCTGTCCCCACATAGTGGTAATGTCAGGAACCTTCACAGGTGTTAGCTGGTGGGTAGTTGGTTGATAGTTGGTTTATGGTTGGTTTATGGTTGGTTTATGGTTGGTTTATAGTTGGTTTATGGTTGGTTTATGGTTGGTTTATGGTTGGACTGTGAAACTTCTGCCAACTCCTCACAAAGGATTCATCCCAAGCATATGAAAAGTCCGAGACATTCCAGATTGCCTTATGAAAGTGAAATTATACAGGCATAGATTGACACGTCTGGACGCTTGGAGCCGGCAAGAGAGAATGGCGCAAATTAAGCACTTCAAGCGTTGGTAAAAAAGGAGTTCCCAGTATACATGGGCAAGGAGTAAATCGGTTTCTAAGAAACCTCGAATAACTCCTCTAATATTTATCCAATGGATATACATTTAAAATTGGAGTTAAGTCAAAGCAGCCAGAAAATGTAGACATAATAATGTTGTCTAATAAAGGCATATATATATAGATATAAGGGACTATATCTTTCCGGACGAGTCCAAGTTTGAATTTTGTGCCGATTACAGGTAAGTCAAGTTACCAGCCTTACGGACTGATGCGTAATGGCTTATCATTCCACGACTCACATAAATCAGACAGACCTGCAAACACGTGGTGCTACCATCTGGAAAGAAAAGGCTAACCAGGGAGATGAATGGAGGCGGGTGATATCTGGAGCAATGAACCTCAAGGAATCGGAATGCTGAAGAAGAAGAAGAAGAAGAAGAAGAAGAAGAAGAAGAAGAAGAAGAAGAAGAAGAAGAAGAAGAAGAAGAAGAAGAAGAAGAAGAAGAAGAAGAAGAAGAAGAAGAAGAAGAAGAAGAAGAAGAAGATCTGCATTTAAACTGTATTTAGTGTATACTTTTCTGATTACCTTATTTTTTTAAATGTCTGTGTGTGTGTGTGTGTGTGCATCAGATGACAATACAATTCTTTTTCTTCCTCTTCTATTCCCCCCCCCCCCCCCATGAAGCACAGACCCTCAACAAACTCACTCCAAGAGGTTCTATTCTTTGCTTTTGCAATCAGCCCACTCCATATCCTTTCCATCTTTTTAACTTCCCTTTCTAGTTCCCTTCACCATGTTTCTTCGTCTTCCTTTCTTTCTGTGCCCCCCCCCCCCCCCCCCCTGGATACCAGTGCAAAATAATTCTGGTTATATTGGTCTCAGGTTTTCTAAACGTGTGCGGCACTCAACTCTAGCATTTTTGTTCCCTCCCCTCTTGGTCCACTGGAACTTGTTTTGTTTCTCTCCAAAACTCGACATGAGAGATTCTATCATACCATTTCATTACCCTAGTCTGCGCAGACACCTGTTTATGAATATTTACAGTGTCTTAGTAATATTGTAGGAGTTCTCCTTGTTGCCGTTTCATACAGTAGTGATTTGACTTTACAATTACAATTTAAATGCTAAGTATTAGTTTTTAATTTCCTTTGACCTTCACAAACTTCCTAGTAATTTGAACGCTCTATATTTTTATGGTTTGTATTCATATTTCAATATCTTTATCAGTTAAATTTTCTATCAATAAAAATATATTGAGCCATCTGTCGACTTGATCTTTAATGTCGGTGAGCACCTTATTACCACCGCTTGTTACGCATAGAAAGATACCTCTGTCAACTAAGGCCATTCTCATAAGAACGGTTTTTTGGGGCCAATATTTTACTACAAGTGCCAAACATGGACCCTTAATACAACTAATGAGCGGAAGATCGTAACAACATAGATGAGATGTGTTAGGAGAGCTGCCGGTGTGAGCTTCTGACTGTGTCTCACATCAAAAATAGTGTAGACTGAGATGCATGGCACTCCCAACACATTTGGTACATGTAAAAGAATCTCTTTAAAGTAAACAATAAGCAGCAGTCAGAATGGCTGGTGAAACATCGGACTAATTTGAGGTGCATAGAGCAGTAAGACATGGCTGCATTCTTGCTCTATCTCTTTTTAATATGTATAGATACAATATTATGCTGTTACTGAAGAGATATGTGACAGTTTCGATCCACTCAAAGTTGAAGGTAGACATATCCCAGCACTTAGGCACGCAGGCGACACAGTTCT